CACATACAAATCATACCATCATGGCACCACCGCATTCATTGTGAGCAGGGCCGTGCACAGACATTTTGAGGGGCAGTGGCCCAAACCAAAAAAGGGGCACTAGGGGGGTGGGTGCTTGTTAATTCAAATGATCCAGTTGTTACAAATATACAATTAAAAGAGAAGAAAGCACACTCTGTAATAATTTCAGACTTTATTGTAGATGTTTTGATAAGAGTGGGCTCTCCCTCACTCTTTGAGCCTGCTTCTGCCTCATCTTCAATGGAAGTAGGGGAGAGTGGGGTAAGTTGACTCACCCCCTGTTTCTTGGCAACTGTACACTTTTTTTACTGTCATGTGACCATGTATTTTGGAACCACCCCCCCGTTTCTGCCAGACTGTGAAAAGGAGAAACACATGGGGGGAATAGAAGGCACCCATTTATTTTAAAAACTGTGTTTGGCTTGTCAAAATAAAATTTTAGCATAAAATGTAATGTAATGGTAATTACATCAAAGCAAATGTATCCATTGTCTAAAAATATTTGATACATATAGGTGCCCCTAACCCGGGGCAAACTGAGCCATGGAAACACTTTTTTTATAAGAAGCCATATTTTTAGAACCCTTTCATAGATACATTCTGATCATTTAAAATGATTCATTAGGATAGGATAGATACTTACTTACTTTGTATTTCTGAGTCATTTTCCCTTGAGGAGACACATAAGTAAAAAATGGCCAATCTTAACCCACTCTCCCCTATAAGTATTAGACATTTATTTTAATATTTTACAGCATTAATCTATATTATATACAAATAAACAACCCATTTAGAACATTTATTTTTAAACTATTTATAGGCCTACTATTAATATGGTTTTAATAAAATAAGATGTGTTATAGACTACTAGTATCAAGACAAGTGATTATAATGGGAAATATACTTAATTACAATAATTAAAGTGTGACAAACTGCTAAATATTCTATATGATGATTTACCTGCTGGCTTGCTGGAGCTTTGAAATCATGTTTGCAATGTTAAACTGCCTTTAGCAGCCTCCCTTTGCTCTTTCTCTCTCTGTGTTCTTTTTTGTGAAGGCATTATTATTATATATATATATTTTTTTTTGTCTACAATATGTGCCAACAACAGCGAATTTTGTTATTTATGTTAGATCTGATCGGATATAATAATTTGATCAGACATTCTAATTCTGAGAGCGTGAATATTTTGTTGTAATCACTTTTAATCACTTTACCGACAGAAATACAAAAAATACCAAATTATTAATTCAGCAAATCATCCACTGACTGTAATGTGGATTGTAATGCATCTACCTGTTAATGAATGACCTTCGGAAACTGTGGTCTCCACTCCAGATAGCAGCACACCGATTGTGAGTGATGCTGCGGAGCGGGAGGGAAAGCACGGAGCGGATTCGAAGAATCAGCGGATCTTTAGCGGAGTGGTAACCGAACGCTTGGTGGGGGGATTGGCAAGAGGGGCAACTCAGCCAATGAGGGCAAAGGGGCAGTGGCTCTAGCCACCGGGCCACCCCCCTGTGCACAACCCTGATTGTGAGCATACTTACTGTTGGGTTCAGACGTGATTTCTTTGTTCTTGTAGAACCAGGACACGGCTGGTACAGGTGAACTGATGACATCACAGATTACCTCAGCATCCTCACCCTGACGAAACTCCTGTGGCGTCTTCACCTCGCGGAACGTCAGCTTCTCTGTGACCAAACAAACACAACGACATGAAGTACCACAGTAAACCCACATGTTCTCAAGAAACCAAATACTGTAATTAAGATATCTCAATCAGTGTTGTTATAGTTAAAGGAATAAATGAAAATTAAATGAAAATGAAAGTTTTGTCAACATTTACTCACCCTCAAGCACAAAAGAAGATATTTTGAATAGTGGGTACTATCAAACTGTCGAAAAGCTGTTTGGATACCAGCATCTTATTTTGTCTTCAACAGAAGAATGACACTCAAACAGGTTTGGAATAACATGAGGGTGAGTAAATGATGACAAAATTTTAATTTTGGGATGAACTATCCCTTTAACTAAAACTAAAAATAAAACCATAAAAAGAAAAAGAAAAGAAAAGAAAGAATGAATGACTGAATGAAACATTTTTATTTATTGAAATAAACGTTTACTGACATTAATGCAAACGTTAAAATAAAACGGTAACACTTTACAATAAGATAATGAAGTAGGAATGAAAAATACTTCTAAAGCATTTATCAATCTAAGTCAACATTTACTAATAATGGACTTTTTTATTCAATATCATTAACAAAGATTAATAAATACTGTAACAAATGCATTGCTCATTGTTAGTTAATGCTAGTTAATGCATTATTGTAGTGTTACTAATAACATAAAAAAATGAAAATGAAAAATAAAATAAATGAAATAAAATAAAACAAATATATTGAAATAAAAACACAAAGATAATAAAAAAAGTAAACAAAAAAAATTTAATTACTAAAACTGACTAAAATGAAATGGAAAATATTGAAAATAAAAACTACATTTATTTATTAAAAATTAATAAAAACTAAAATAATATATCAACAATACTAAAATAACACTGATATCAATATGAATATGATATTTTTTAATACATTCTAACTCTCATTAGAGTATAAGTAGAGTATTTGTAGACTATTGGGTTTAAGTTAGGGTAAGTAGAATAAGTTGCCATGTACTTGCAAAGTCAGAAGAATAAAAGTAAAGTGGACTATCAAAACAAAGTGTTACCCTATTTATGTCTCCACTATTCTCCTGTGTGATGAAGGAGCAACCACTGAATTCTTTGCACAAACATTTACAGTACCAACGTGAAAGCAAGTCGATTTCGACAGAAGTGCTTCTCTTTTAACTCAAAGTATAATTAATGACAGGCACAAATCAAATGAATCAAGGCGGTTTCACTGGCTAATCAAAATTACGTTTTTCTCCCTCGTCTTTGCATGCTCTAAATGCGATTGCATTCAGTCTCTTATTGCAAAAGTGTGCTTGTAAACAGACATAATCTCTTGCTGTTTGGCTGAAATCGTTTTTCTGAATCGCATATTTTGGCTTGAGCTATGAGTTCAGGGCAGAGAACCACACTGGGCCATGTTTCTACATTATTACACACAGTTATTTAGTGCTTGACCTGCTGAAAACACTGAAGATCTTGATTCATTTCAGCACAAGAATGCTATGAATACTGTACAAACGGACAGTACTGAAGGTCATCTTACAGAAATCACTGATTGATTTGATTGTCAAAAAAAAAAAAAAAAGTGCGATGAGAGTGATTTGCTTTTATTTTCTGCGTTTTTAAGCATATCATGTTGCAGCATGTCTTCATAATGTCACAGTTCAGCTTGAATGACATCACATCAACACTGAGTAGGATTGGGAATCAAGAACCAGTTCTTGTCTATAACTGGTTATGTTTTCTGAAAAAATACCGTAACAAAAGTTCAGTTTAACATGAAATTATGTCAGAAATATATTGCTATTGCATGCTAAAATGTACTTTACAGAGTAATAATAATAACAATAGTTATAATAGAATATATATATATATATATATATATATATATATATATATATATATATATATATATATATA